AAGGCCAAACCCCCGTAGAAGGTACACCACTTATTTGTCCATGTTTTTCATTATAGCAAATTTATACTACAAATTAATGAGTTGTTTATTTTTTTTTTTAACCAATTTGTAGATATTTATTTAAAGGTTTTTTTAATATGTGGGTATAAATTAAAAATACATTTATTATACCTCCAATATTAATACATATAAAGAATTACAAACTGGCATTATCTAATTATACAATTAAAAACATCCACATGGTAGACTGTTAAAATTAATATAAGGTAACCAATGAAAACTTAATTGAATTATTACCCACTAACTTAAAAATTTTAATTTAAGATTAAGTTTAAGAATTCAAACTTGTATGATGTTAAGTAGCTAACCCTTCAATATATATATATATAGATTTTTTTATATAATTTAATGTTTATAGAATATATTTATTACGTAGACAAAGCCTTTATTTAATTACTTGATTAACCATACATGTAATTGGAAAGTTACCCATACATTCAAAATTGGGTAGAATAACCGTAATGAATAGACTTGCTGAATATATATAGTTGATACGTCCTTATCAAAGGCATCTCTCAAAATAAATAGATGCACAAAACCAATCACTCTAAGAAGCAAATAAGATTACTCAGAAAAAAAAAAAAAATTCTAAATACTTGAACACTCATAAGAAGACAAAGCCATACAACTTATAACATATATAGCTAAAAGGAAGAAGAACTCCACCAAGCGGCCAATGGCCGTGTGTCTCGTTGCGACAGGTGGGTTGTTCATTTGATTTGGAAATCGAATTCTCAGTTACTAATATCTAACAATACTAATTTACTGACCATTACCCTTAAAAAAGAAAAAAGGAAAAAGGGGGGGAAAAGGGCACACCAAAAGCAGAGTAATAAATTAAACTGAAAGTAGGAAGCAGCCGAATAAAAGACATTGAACTTTGGATTTAGCAGTTCCCGCTTGGGGGAAACAGGGCCTGCATAAGGACGTGCTCTGTTCCTAACATAAGCAGCATAGCAGCGAGAGCTCCATCCAGTTTCTCCTTCTCGAGTTTAACATCCTTTTCCTTCTCGTCAGCAGCAACAACCATGTTCTCCATTTCCGTCCTCGAGTGAGCCACTTTCTCCGCCGCACTCTTCTTAACCTTCTTCCATTGCTTCAAAAATTTTTTGACCTGCAGAGAAGGAACAAGACAAGAAATTTCATCACTATATGGTGATAATTAAGATGTTCACTTGATCTGAAAAATGCATCTGATATATTACAACCGTAAGCTCAACGTTCTGTCGCTTTTTCCCGACCGATTTGGAACTGCTCCCCCCTGTTTTCAGTTGATTCATTACTTCTCTTTCTCTCTTCCCTGTAAACTCAGAGCAGTCAACTCATTCTAATTAATTCAAAGCAACAGAGGAGCTTATCTGATTATAATTAAACTGGAGGTCGATCACTAATAAATTAGAAACCTCACCGATTTCTACGGTACCGGAATCGGTGGATCTGCCGTTACTCGGCTGAAGATTGTCCATGCCCTGTTTTTCCCCTCCTGGAACGAACCTTGGCATCGCTGCGTTCCTTTCCTACTCATCCCTTCTTGCATCATGTGTATATATATAGCTTTGCGAATTGCGCCCACGAAATCCGTGATTGAGTTGGACTTTGGACCACCATCTTCGCGATCGTTCGAGTCCCTGCGTTTAATACGAAAGAATCGAGCGGAACCCAACGATCGGGCCCATGAAAAGCACTTTACCGATCGATTATATGGGCCCGCGGTCTCTCTGCTCTCGGAATTTATTTGGTGAGGTTTTGTCTGCATATGCTGCGTGGGATTTCCTCATTAGTCATTACCTATGAATGGAAACGTCGCCACTGCAACTCGGTTCTGTTTTTATGTTCTGTCTTACTCTTTTCTAACTTTTTTAATAAGGGTTTTTTTTTTTAATTTTTTTTAATTTTTTTAATTTCAAGATTTGAGGAAAATTAAGTCTTAATAATTAAAATATTAAAAATAATAATGAACAAATTAAAATACTTTTAATAAATTTATACGTAAAAAGTTTTTATCAAATATATTTAAATAGTTTTAAAAAAATCTTAAAATTTAAAATGTTGATAAGTTTAATTTTTATTATATGGGTTTTTTCTATCTTGTACCCTAAGGATAAGGGTGTATTTTTTTATTAATATAAATAATAAAATTAAAAGTTAATATTAATTTTATCAATTATTCCATAAAAATTATTCATGTGTTATAAATATTAAAATTAATGCTAACTTTTTTTTTATTTTTTTAATGTAAATTAATGTATGAAAAATGCATTTAAGACTTCTTTAACCTATGCCATAAGGACACAAATTAAACAAACTCTTATTATATATATAGAAATTAGTTCGTATTAGTTTCAATTCTAAAAAATAATTATAATTCTAACTTGAATTTGAAAACTGAAATTTCATTATATTAAATGTTGATATTTGGATTTGATAACCCATTGTATATTCTAATATAAT